CCCCAAAACCCCAAAACCCCAAAACCCCAAAACCCCAAAACCCCATTTCATTTAAGTTTCATTGAGATTCAAATCGTTTATGACAGATATGTGCTTTAAATTAGAGAATTCCGAGTATCTTTCCTCCCCTTCCCTGACCTCTTGCTTTTGAGAATTGTTCAAACATTCCATAAATGATCGTGACTGCGAGGAGAATTCCAGTTCCACTTCCGATAGCTCCTAGCATGTCTGCAAAGACACTGAGGGCACCTATACAAAGTCCTCCGAAGGAAGCAGCGATTGGGATGTAGTGGTCTAGATACCTCTTGATGTTTCTTCCTGATGGGTCCATTTTATATCCCTTGATGGTGAGCCCTTCATCTTTGAGTTGCTTAGCAACGTCCCATGAGCCGCTTCCAGAGACTTCAATCCAGGTCTTACTGAAGATAGCACAAGTGACCATAACAAAAGCGATGTATACAATAGTCTTGATTGGGCTAAACAGGAAATCGAGGATGCTCTGTGGAGGAGTCAAGATATAGACAAGTCCATAGACTGGAACTGATCTTCCAGACATATCAACATCTTGCCATGTTCCCAACAATCTCACTAAGAAATTTCCCTTGAAGTTGGTGTATAGAAGCTGTGAGAAGAAGAACAAGTTTGAGATCAAGGCCGATTGGAGAATGATTGGCATGTTGGAAGTGTAGAATAGCTTAATTGGATATGGGAAATCATAACCTCTTTGTCTAGCACTAGATACTGTTAGCTTTACTTGGAATCCTTGGAAGTATACAACAATCAAAATAACAGCAGCGGTGGCAATCAGATTTAATAGGTTCGGGGCGTTTTGACGGAAGAATGATTTATAGATTCCATCAAACTTATCACTCTTGGCAATCAAGAAGTGGAAGAAAGCAATAATAGCTCCTTCGAATTCAGTATCGTTTCCTGCGTTGACTGTGATTGGTGAGAATGCTCTCCACAAAATTGATTCAGCAATGTTGCATGCAATGAATACTGAAGTTCCTGAAGTAAGTCCATATCCTTTTTGCAATAATTCATCCAAAAGCATTACGACAAGCCCTGCTACAGTAAGTTGAACAATAATCAAGAGGGCATTAATATATCCTAATTGTCCCATAGTTCCATAGACACCACTCAAGACATAGGCAGAGGCTTCTCCGAAGGTGAAAAGAATTCCAAAAACTTTAGTTGCTGTTTGGAATAGTTCCTTATCCTCATCTACCTTTTGGTCTACGTGAATAATTTTAGCTCCTGCTAACAATTGCAAAATCATTCCAGATGTGATCATTGGTTGGATACCGAGCTCCATCAAAGATCCTTTGTTTGAAGCAAGCATCATTCTAAGCATGTATAGAGGATCTGCTCCATCAGTGATGTAAACTCCATAGAGAGGAATCTGACAGCAAATCAGATAAATCAATAATCCAATGAAGGTCCAAATCAGTTTGTCATTGAGTCCAATCTACAGTCTTAATTCCAAGAACTTACCTTCCTAATTGGTTCCTCCACGTTAGGGAGGAAGGGTTGGAACGGTCTCATAAGGTGTAGTACCTTAAATCCACTTGACATTTTTAATATTTTAACAGCTGTTTTCTATTTAAGGCTAGCAATAAGGGGTTTTGGGGTTTTGGGGTTTTGGGGTTTTGGGGTTTTGGGGTTTTGGGG